CATGATAATGGCCTCGCTGCACTACTCTCGAAATGTGCAAAACGAGAGTGAATCTTCCGGTAGAATATGGAAAGATACACCGCCATGATTTTTGTCTGTTGTGCATATCGAGAGTAGTGCAGCGAGGCCCAATACGCACCACGGCTGTGCAAAGCTCTGCATGTACTTGTAGGAGGATCAGTGCGGCGAGGGTCGAGACCGTACTACCTTGTTCCCCCGAAGACAACGCACCCTCGTTTTGGCTGCACCTGACCGGAAACACACCTTGTATACGTTCGTTATCAAGGTGCGCTGTGTTCGGGGGAAGACGGTAGTTGCGGCCATGCCAAAGATGTCCCTGGCTGAGTGGGTTTCATGGCTGTGACAGACTAGTTTCTCAGACTTGCTGACATTCTTGTCTGGGGCTGGGGTTTGGACCAACAACAGTCTGCTAGCATAATAAAACACTTACTCGGTTTAAAAAAAAAAAAAAAAAAAAAAAAAAAAAAAAAAAAAAAAACAGTCTGCTAGCATTGCAGGGTTGGTGTGAGTGAAGGCGACCACCTCTCTCTCAGGGATGGGTATTGCTAACTCTGGGCGACGTGATGAGTCCTTATCCATCCGTCAATTGCATCCTGGTCAGGCAGTTGGGCCTCATCCGCCTGATGAATCCGTGAAAGTGCGACGAAACAGTCTGGTACAATCGTCCTTTTTTGTGCAGTTGTGTGTGTATAGCCAACATGTTAACACTCGAACTCACACACAATACACATTCAAGCATTCAAGCTCCTGATGAGTTGGTGAACACTGAACACGCACATACTGTATAACCTCGTGATGAGTTGGTGAACTCGCACACACATTCAACCTCCAACCTGCTGACGAGTCGGGTGGACAGTCTATTCACAGTCAGCACGCATTTTGTGCCGAGGGTTGTAAATAAATGCCGAAGACACTGTTCAATCGGTAAGGAGGGCCTTTCTTGATAAGGGGCGGTAGCGGTGGTGAGGCTCTCTGTGCCTTCCGTTGTTGTCGTTGTTGTTGTTGTTGTTTCTTCTTTTTCTTTCTTTTTTTTTTGGCTTTTTTTTTTTTTTTTTTTTTTTTTTTTTTTTTTTTTTTTTTTTTTTTTTTTTTTTTTTTT